TCTTTCCATCAGCAGGAAAAAACGTGTAGATTTGCTGCTGTCTTGACTGATCGGTGCTTTAATAGATAAACATGAAGTCTTCATGACACGACTCCTGCAGACACTCCATCTGCCTGATGGAGTTGGAGAACCTGTGGAAGACTTGTCCATGAACTCTTGGCCTAGCGTGACCTCACCGTTCCATCGAAGGCTAGCAACCTGTTTGGTTTGTTAACGAAGGTACGACAGAATCAGGAGTCACTGATGTGGAAAATGGGTTCAAGTCTTCGAGGTTTTGGATTTTGGAGAGCATTTCAGAATGTCGACATATTATTGAACTAGCGATCAGTGCGATGACATCGTCACTAATCCAGGCGTATTCGGACGTTTCACTTCCCCCAGATGTGTCTGTACCGAGTTTCTGTGCTGTTACTCATGTGGAAATAAGTCACCACGCCGTCTGTTCATCTGAATGTCCTCAGCATGACAAGAACTATCTTTTTTTTTTCTTTAATTAGACAGATTTGCAGCATTAAAATGGCTTCACCAAAGCATCCTTTACTGCATGTTGTCCAGAGGACGGGGTTTTAACTCGCTGTCACAGCCGCTAATAACCTGCAGACACAGGAACTGAAACTGTGAGGATTTTCAAAAGATGCAGACAAGCAAGTCGACCGCTGTCACCCCACCCAAGCCGTCTCTGCCACAAACTCACACATAGCAGCCATGCTAGCAGACACATCCACCCGTATCCAGTCGCCCAGACACGTGCTCATGCATGAACCCCTGCACAGGGCCCCCTACGGCAGCTGAGACCCGACCACGGCCCGACACTCTCACTATTTGCACTTATGCTGCCTCATGACTTGACGCTTTGTGAGTTTCTCATACAGGGGATATTCCTAACTGCCATGTGTGAAGTAGGGGGTCGTGAATTAGCATTTGACAGATATGTGCTTCAGAGGTCCAGTGGCGGTGTGCTGTACCACTGCTCGGGTAATGTCATGCCAAAAACATGGATCTTAGAGCACAGAGCCCTGTAAATGAAATCATATCTGACTTGTAATAAAAGGCATCCCCTAGACACCAGCGTAATGCCAGCACAGACACTATGAGGTGTCATGTTCTCAGCGTGAGGTGTCGGAGCAGAGTACATAGACGGGGCAGCATCGGCACGTCTAACACACTTCAGCTAATCACAAGGCCTTATCTTAGAAGTGTGACATCCTGTCTATGCTCTGTAATCCGCACACATCATGAAGGGGGTGGGCTGCAAAGTGCATGAGTGTGTGTGCACACCTGCAGTCCTTCGCATGTCTGTGCAGCAGAGCTGCTGTAAGTCAGAGGCTTATCAGGAGAGCGCTGTCAAGTTTCCAATAAAGGCGTCTCGCTCGCCCCTCGGTCAGGGTCTCAGTGTGTGTGCGTGTGAGCGTGCACGTGTGTCTATTGCAGGAGGATTTCTCACGTTTTCATGCCACAGCGTCGGCCTCAGACCTCCTGCTTCATAACATCTGATCCCATGGAGCCACATAGAAAGATATCCTGCGCTATAATGGAATCATTTCAAGTGAATCAAATTATAGTGAAATTACACTAGTCTTCATTTTTGCACCGGATCCCCTGGAACCAGCCCACGGGCCCCAGAGAGCCGGTGCCGCTGACACTTTTTAAATAGGAATTCCCACCCCGACTGTTTGCCTCATGTCTCACAGTCCCACTGTTCAGTAATCTAGACATGCAGCTATCTTCCTCCCTGAAGCCCGACTGCTGAGCCCCCACAAGCTCAGCTGCCAATTCTGTTGACCCCCCCCCAACGCTCTCCTCCGTCCAGGATTACTGGGACCGGATCTCGCCCTGGTGGAGAACCGCGGCGTTGGCAACTGGTAATCCACGAGACGAGGGCTGGCACGTGGCACGGAGGCTTTGCCCAGAGCCGGCAAAGTGTGTGTGATCAGCCAGTCTTTGGGCTGAACTGCAGGCAGTAGCCACTTGCCTGTGGCCCTGTTTTACTGCACTGATATGTAGGACATGTCTTATCACCAGTAACCCACAAGCGTACCATCCACAGTCTCCTCTGCACTGCTGGAGCGTCAGTCTTTGGTAGCATCTGTTACTCGGCTCATCACTTGAAATGTTTTTGTTATAAAGAAAAGGATCCTAAACCTGAAAAATACATGAATACAGTTTTTTAAAATTGCACTGCGTACACATTTCACTCACTTGAACCCACGAAATACGACTAAAATGATCAAGCTTTGCTCCTTTTATCTGGCTTTTCAGGTGTTTTAGCAACAGTGAAATTCTGCTTAATGTCAAGATCATGATGAGAACAGTTCTACACTGAGACCAGCCAAGGAACACGTTTTTAGGATGGGGTTCTGGTTTCATGAACCAGTTTTAGGTATGTGTGGTTCTAGAAATAGCTTTTTTTAGTTGGTTGGTTCCAGCACTAGTGGCTGCAGGTGGATCAGTGGTTAGCACCGTCGCCTCACAGCGTCCCGGTGAGGACACCCGGGATCTTCCTGCGTGGAGTCTCCATGTTCTCCCCGTGCAGCGTGGGTTCTCTCCGGGTTCTCCGGCTTCCTCCCACAGTCCAGAAACATGCTGAGGTTAATTGGTGATTGTAAATTGTCCGTAGGTGTGAATGTGAGTGTGCTTGGTTGTCTGTCTCTAAGTGTAGCCCTGTGATAGACTGGTTACCTGTCCAGGTGAACCTGCCTTCACCCTGAGTCAGCTGGGATAGGCTCCGCCTCCCATGACCCTAGGCTGGTTACCTGTCCAGGTAGATAGTGGATGGATGGTCCAGCACCATTATCATAAACCCACAGAGTGACTGATCAGTGCCACCATGAGATGAAAAGGAGAACTTGTCCTGTGGGGTCTTGACCCAAATCAGAAACATTTCAGCAGATTGTAGCTCGTCTGGTCCGGTGTGTGCTCAGAGCATCAGTTTTCTTTAGTTTATTTTTTTACTAATAGAACTATTCTAAAAGAATTACAAAACAAGCAATGGTGAGTAATGTTGTGAACATTAAATTGATGTATCAGGTTTATGATGGAGACACGTCGGTTAACAGTCTGAACATAAAGGAGATTCAGTATCTGTCCAGTGCAGGTGGTTTTTGTTCTACACAAAGGACACCAGGTTTTGCTCTGGTGCTTGGTTTATCTGTACCTCTTCTCAAATATCTCATTTGTTGAAATTACATATAGAAAACTAGCTCTGAAAACCAGGGTTTAAAGTCTGACCTGGATCCTTAGAAACCCTCATCACTTCTGCATGTGAAGGTCCACTTCAAACGGACCACAGACGTTGTGTTCCTCTGAGACACAACCATTAGGAACTGGATTTCTGTGAAGAGGCCAGAAAATACAGAACACTCGCTGGTCATTTAAAGCCGTGGAGTTACACATCATGGGTGACGGTGGACGGCGGACAGCTGTCACATCGGCGGACCTCAGCGGTATGTGTTCGTCTAGCCGTGATACTTTACTGCACCAGCAGCTCTGATTACACAGATATGTGGCATAGCAGGACACGCTGCCAGCATGGTGGAGAGAGAGAGCATCTACCCCGTACAAATACCCACCTGTTGACACCACACGGGGCTGGTGTGAGAGAGAGAGGGGTAGAAGGTCTGGTTCTGGTCTGTCCTGCACACTGCAGCAGGATGATGTGGACTCCTGAAGGAGATCCTCAGAGAACACAAGAGAGAGAGAGAGGACCATGAAGAGAAGCAGAGAGATGAATGAGTGAATGCATCCCCTCCACAAGTATCACTGCTTTGACAGAAGAGGTCCAGATCTACGTCACATGTGACCTCGAAACACGTAGAACACGTATGATGGAACTGAACACAAACAGCTCGATTATCTGTTTTTTCCACGTTATGAGCAGAATCTGCACTTCAGAGGCCGTCACACTGCTGCTCCAG